AAAAAAAAAAAAAAAAAAGAATCTATTGTGTTCCATTTGTGTAATATTTAATTAACCAAAATCTTGACTGTTACACATCATTTACCATTTTAATGAAAGGAATTAGATTTAATTGAGCAGGAATTTTGGATAGTTGGGTTCTATCTACAGCAGTAATAAATGAAATTATATGACTTGTATTTACATTTCTAGAGCTATATGTAAGTAGGAGTTCCCAGGGTAATCCCAAACAATTGCTATTGTGGGAAGCTTTTTTTGGCTACTAAACTATGCCCTACAGATGTTGAAGCCTCAGGCCTTAGTGTAAAGCTAACCAATACAACTTGTTCATAATATTTGAAATTCCTAAGTGTGATTGACTCTTAGCTATTGTTTTAGAAGTGTGCAGATATTCGTGCCTGAGTCAGGGAGGCCTGACTCCCAAATGTCTGTCTATTCTGGAAGGAGACAGAACTACAATCGTCCTATGACAGAAAAGGTCCAATTTTTAATTTTTTTTTATTTTTGTTTTTGGACAGGGTTTCACTCCCACAGCCCAGGCAGGCTGGAAAGCTGCGATCTCGACTCAGTGCCACCCTCCGCCTCCCAAGCTTAAGTGATTCTCCGGCGACAGCCTCCGGAGACTACAGGCGCACACCACCACACCTAATTTTTGTAAAGATGGGGTTTCGCCATGCTGCCCAGGCTGGTCGTGAACTCCTGAGCTCAAGCGATCCGCCCGCCTCGGCCTCCCAAAGTGCTGGGATTACAGGGGTGAGCCACCTAGTCCTGCCTGATTCTCTTTTCTCTGCTTGCACCATGACGCTATTTTTGAGAGTTTTTGTTTTTTTCTTTTAAAATCACCATTGACATCCCTCTTCGGCAGAGATAAATTTTGTTTATCTTAGCGAGCAGGAGGAAGGAGACCCCCTTCTCCGAGCCTGTGCTTGGAGAAAAGGAGGAAGTAAAATTAAAGGCCAGTCAGATGAGGTCAGTGGAAGGACCGGTTGGCACCGCAGGCCAGGTCTAAATGTTAAACTCCCTTCTCCTAACCACAATCCTATGTATAGACGGGACATGGTATAGAGGAATTCTCTCCGGAAGGCATTGTTCTTGCTTAACTGCTCAGACCACTACCTAGTCACGTCCCCCAGGCTTGCCTAATCAATCATGACCCTTTCATATGTGCACCTCTTATAGTAAACCTTTAAAAGGGCAGATTTTCTTTGTCAGGGAGGTCGGTTTTTGAGGCCTTGAGCCAACCGCAGGTCCCAGCCGAATAAAACTGCCATTCCTTCCCAGTTCAGTGTTCCTGTGGTTTGTTCGTGGCCGCTCCTGCTTCAAGCAAAGAACAGCTAAAAAAAATGAGCCTTTATCAGTTTAGTATATGCTGAAAATTGTTACCACAATATTTTGAAATATGCTTTGAGGCTTTTGTCTGAATGGTTTTTAGAGTAAAAGGATTATTGCTTTGGTTTTTGTTGTTGCAATGCTTGCTTTAATTATTACTTTAATTATTACTTTGTTGTTAGCAAAGGAAACATGTTAATAGTTTGTTTTCATTGCATTTTTCCTCTATGTTTAAAGGGGAGCGGAACCAACCTTAAGTAAAAGAAGCTTGCCACAACCCTGGATTTTGAAGGTTACTAATTCACATGACCCAGAAAACAGCTCTTTAGTTGTACTGGGAAAGGGGAATTCTTAATAGCTAAAATCATAGTTGATGTTTTTGACAGCTAACAAATTGCCAGGCACACTACAGACTTATCTGTGGAAATTAATTAATCCTCTTACCAACCTTCCAGGTACATACTAGTGTCACTCCCAGTTTACCTAAGAGGAGTCTTGAGACACACAGAGAAGCTAAGCAATTTGCCCGTGGTCACTCAGATAGTGATCCTAGCATGTTGGCTCAAGAGCACACTCCCTTAACCAGAATTCCATACTGCCTTTAATGTGCACAAAATCCTATGCCATATGTTTAGAGTTTGCTTTTGAAACCCTAAATCATTCCAAACATCCTATACTTTCAAGTTTAAATAGTTTCTTAGATCCAGGAGTATTTTCCCGGACATGAAGGGAAAATTAAACCCTTAATTAGAAAGAAAACTTGTAAAAAGCTTCCTCTTATAAAATTATAAGCAAAATTTTATAATCTGTTAGTTTTTGAAAAGCACATTTTTCATTTTTACATCATTTAAGTGTAATTGCTCTCCAAATTTCTACCCCCACTCAGTTAAAGGGCATAATTACAAGTTTTCATTCTGTTTATTTCTGGAAATAAACAGTTTTATTTATTTGAATGGAAAAGACACATTTCCTCAGAAAGATTCATCATCATCTTTGACCCTCCAATAAGACATAAATGGGTAGAATTAGAATCCATTATACATGTTTTAAATACATAAAATCACAGGTAGAACATTTTAATAACTGAGTAGCCAAGGGATTTCTAGATTGAAACTGTTAGCCAATCAGCTAACTAGTTAGCTAATAATATCAGCTATGGCAACGGAGAAAGACAGTCTTTCCTGCTGGCACTAAAAGAAGAAAAAGGACATCTATCCTATAATGCTTGATTTCTTCCTTTGGCATGTAAGAAACCATATCACAGGAATGCTTTCAGAATTAAAAGCAGTGTTTTGACTGAGTTTTATTGGTCAAACCCTACTATAACTGCAGATTTCAAATTCCTGAGTGATATTGTGCCCTGAGGGGGAAAAAGAAAAAGAAATAAGTTTGAGAAGCGCAGTTGCATTTGTTTCTTCTGGTTTGATTTCCTTTAATATGTGATTGAAGGACAGAAAATTTGGTAAGTTTAGTCTGGGTTTAAAAGAAATAAAATGTGCAATTTTTCATATCATTAATGAAAAATTACATATATATTTACATCAATGTAGGTACCGCAAGTTGCTTAACTAATATCCATTCTCTTCTTTCTTTAGGACAAATCCAATTTTGTTCATCGTGGCAATGTGCCCTACTAAAACTGTTTTCCTCCCCTAGACTCCTCTAGTAGCTGGGTTAACCATATGGTCATTTTGGCCAACAAGACATAAACAGAAATTATTAGATATGGCTTCCAAGAAAGCTTTTATTTTCTAATAAAAGAGGGCAGACTCAATTGGCATATACCTTTACCTCTTGTTAAACATTTGTACTTTTTCCTTCTTCCTGTCTGGAAGGAAGACTTAAGTCTTTAAGTCTGGAAGCAGAGCAGCCTTTTTGGAATCATAAGCTGATCATGAGAAGGAAATCCATGTATTAATATGCTAGAGCCAAGAGAAGGGAACCTGGAACAATGGTAATATTATGTGGGTGCTACACCAATTCCAGGCTGCTCACTTCCAGTCTTCTGTGTTACTTGCCAACAAAGGCCATCCTAACTAATTCTCAAAGTTAAACACTGTCACTTTCATATAGTTAGAAAAGAAGAATACTTCTAGAGTATGTTTACTATATCACATATATATTTTTTATATATAAATATATATATTTACTAGAGTAAATTATATATACTAAATAAAAAAATTATATATATATATTTATATATATACACACACACACACACTAAATAATACATATACGCTGGTAAATATATATATTTACCATAATTTGGCCAGGCACAGTGGCTCACACTTGTAATCCCAGCACGTTGGGAGGCTGAGGCGGGTGGATCACCTGAGATCAGGAGTTCGAGACCAGCCTGGCGAACTTGGTGAAACCCTGTCTCTACTAAAAATACAAACACTAGCTAGGTATGGTAGCAGGTGCTTGTAATCCCAGCTCCTCAGGAGGCTGAGGCAGGATAATCGCTTGAACTTGGGAGGTGGAGGCTGCAGTGAGCCAAGATGACACCACTGTACTCCAGCCTGGGTGACAGAGCAAGATGCAGTCTCAAAAAAAAAAAACAAAAAACAAAAACAAAAAACACATATTCTCACCTATAAGTGGGAGCTAACCATTAGGTACTCATGGACATAAAAATGGCAGCAATAGAAACTGGAGATTTGGTGGGAGGGCAATGGAGAGAGGGAGCAAAGGTTGGAAAACTAACTACTGGGTACAATACTTGGTACCTGATGACAGAATCATTTGTACACCAAACCTCAGTATCATGCAATTTACCCATGTAATGAGCCTGCACGTATACCCTGTAAATCCAAAATAAAATTTGAAGAAGAAAAGGAAAATAAATACACAGAAAAGTGTAATTAAGTTTTGCACTTTTAGTTAAAACAAGTAGAAGAATCAGGATGTGGAGAGGGATTCTAAAATTAAAATATGTAGTCTGTGTTTTATAGACAGCAACCTGGCATATATGTCAAAAGTAATGAAAATATGAATGCATTTCCCATAATACCACTCCTGGAAATTTATCTGAAGAAATACTTAGGAAGAAAAAAGTCATGTGCATGTCACTGAATGATGTCACTGAAACATTTAGTTA